GGTAGGCCTACAAACTAGTATAATAAAGTTAACGTTACACAATAATAAGGAAGAGAGCTATTTTTGTGATACATCGCTATTGATATTAATTTAGAGTGCATATTTGAGACTTCCAAACGGTAAACAAAAACGTAATTTATGGGTGAGTGTCTGTTGATTATTACCTGTCTGTATTATGTTGCAGCTCAGCTGATTTTGAAATGATGGCAAAGGGAGAGTGAAAACACAAGGTACATTTAATACTACTGTTGTATATAAGTAAGCATACTAAACATGTGTTATATCACTGTATTATATAAGTAATCTTGTTAGTGTATATTAGTAACCTACTGTATGGCAGGTGGAGGAGCAGTGATGTTACAGGTGGAGGGGCAGGGATGTTACAGGTGGAGGAGCAGATTCAAATTCATATCACATCCATTACTGATGCCATTTGTCATACTTTGTTAAACTCACAAATAATAAAGTTCCATAACTTCAGTTGGAAACAAAGACCACACCTTATCTCCCCAAGGCAATTTCCCATCCAATAGGTGTGCTATATAGGTGTGTATAACCCTTTCTCCTGTCTGTTCCTCCCTCTTTCAGCACACGAACCAGAGGGGGATTCAATAGAGCCTGAATACCTGCACTGAGACCCTCACCCTGCACCCTGAGTCTCAACCCTCAGAGTTTTTCAAGCCTTTCCCTGTTATTTGTATTACACCAAACATTAAGCTTCCCAATGGTGTGGTCTTCGTTTTGTGAAAAAGTGCAAATGCAGTGTTTGAATATGATTACCTCACATATTTTGTTGCGGCTGTCTGTTTTGATTGTTAAATTGCTCCTGCTGACTTGAGCCAGCCATTTTCCCCTCCTCTCTGTGTCAGTGGGGAAGCCGTACATTCTGATTCTTACTCCTTTCTCTGAGCGATTGGATCATCCCCAGGCAGCACAGCAAACCATGGTGGAGACGATATGCCAGGACAACACGGAGGAAAAGGCACAGACAAACTGCATGACATGCTATTCAATGTTTATTGAATTCCATGTATTTACAATGGATGTTCCTAAAACAACACTTTTAACGTCATAATCATGTTGCTGCTAGTCCATTGTTAGTCACCTGTTGGTCTCCTGTCCTTTCTGAAAGTCATAAAGATGACATTAGTCATTTAGATTACTTATGTCCTCAAGTACCATGGGATTACTGAAACCACCATGAATTAAAAAAATGGTAGAAATTAATCTAATCTAAATTTTGAAGCATTCCTTGCCATCCCCTCCCTCTAAATATATCAATAAACATTAGGAAGTGATGCTCCTGACTACCATACCTGTTTAAGAAGATAATATTTGTTTTAAATAATTCAAAGCAATACACAACAGCAACAGGCTCTTTAACCAAGGCAACAGCCTAACATGTATAGTAAACTATAGCTGTTCACACTATTCCTAATATTATCCATAAATATTAGCAGATTCTATTTATTTTTTAAAACATATTGATGTAAATACATACAAATATCGGTATGTTGTATAAATATTGCAAATCAAGACCTTTATTCACTACTTATTACCAAAAATCGTAGTTCTATCTCCGGTAATCATGCATTCATATGTCCCGCCACGAACTTCCGGGGAACTATTGACTCTCCCTGAACCACGTGACGATCAAGCATTTTGGACTTCCGCTGTCGTAACTCTTCTATCTATATGGCACTGGTTATGCCCATTCTTTTGGGCAGTGTCCATGAGCGTTTTTTTGCGAGGAATTGTAATTTTTTGTCCTGCCAATTTTGAAGAGTACACATGATATATATCATGTTGTAGTGCCGAGAGACGGGAGTCGGAGGCGTTGTATCGAAGGTACTAAGTTAGCTTTATTGAGCATCAGAAACACACATGTTGTCGGCTTGAAGCCCGGGAAGAGAAGAAAGGAGGGCACACAGTAAGTACAGGTAACATATGTGTCCGTGCGATACAATACCCCCAACCCACAGTTCCGTGGTGAATTATGTCAATCACCACAATGTCCACAATCACACATGGCATGCTGAGCAGATGCATCTGAATTTTCATCAACATTGTCCCCTTGAAAAATCTGCTCCAAAGCCTCAGCTGTAGTAAACCTCCTTGCCATAACTCAGTTTACTTTCAAAACACTGAAATAATGTATTCCAACTTTTATTTTGTTTTCGCGGGTGGAATTATACCGGCTCTCATTTCAGTACACATAACAACAGAACTGACAGGCAACCCTCTGAATCAGACTTCGATTGGCTGTGACTGCATCCACTCAGAGTGTCCGATTCAGAAACGTGACTCTTACACTCTTTACGTCACAAACAAAGATGGTGGATGAGAATAGATCTATAAAACAGAAAACGATAAGCAATGCGCCAGAATCAAGGTGAGACTATCCGCATCTTTTAAAACTCTACGCTCATTAGTTTCACCAAAATAAGTAAACGCCTCTCAATGAAAAACTGAATGGAGTTGTTTCATTTCATTTCATTTCAAACCTTTATTTATCCAGGTGTATCCCATTGAGATCATTGATCTCTTTTTCAAGGGAGACCTGCTCAAGTAGGTTCCACATGAAACATTAAAAACATAAACAGAACAACAAAAAGGACATCATACAGCATCATTACAAGGATTACAATTACATAACTATCCACATGAACAGGTACCAACAGCTTCCGATTGAGTAGCATCCAACCGAGCTTTAAAAACATTTAGTGGCACCAGATTGCTCAGTTTCCATTTTAATTGCAGACTATTCCAGGACAGAGGAGCTGCACATCTAAATGCTATCTTCCCTAAGACAGTCCTAGCAGTTGGCACATTTAATAAAACCACAGCATGCGATCTCAGGCAGTAGCCACTTACAATTCGCCGTGAGATCAGGGAGCAGATGTAGGATGGAAGTTTTCCTAACATGGCTTTGTATATAAAAATGTACCAGTGACTGAGCCTCCGTACAGTTAGCGAAGGCAAACCAGCCCTTGCATACAGGGTACAGTGATGGGTTAATGCTTTACAGTTTGTCACAAATCTCAGTGCACTGTGATACGCAGCATCTAACTTGACCAGGCAATTGGCAGGTGCATTCATATAGATCAGATCACCATAGTCCAGCACAGGTAAAAAGGTCACAGTGACTAGCCTTTTTCTGGCCTCGAGCGAGAAACAGGACTTGTTCCTGTAGAAGAAACCTAGCCTAACCCTCCGTTTTTTAAGCAGGTTATTGACATGACGTTTAAAAGTGAGACAGTCATCAAGCCAGTTTATTGCCGTTTCTGTAGTTTAAGAGGAAAAACACGGCATGCCTCTAGCTGAAACAGCTGAGAAGTTATGACGCTTTGAACACAACGTGATATTTGGGATCGTATACTGCCCCGTGGGTTTTAATCCAATTTTGTTGCTAATCTTTGACATATCCAAGACTGTTATAAAAGCCAGTCCCCAGATATGTATTATGGTAAATAACTAATTTTCTCTGTTTTTATCATGAAAAACAACAGCGGTTTCATGTATTCAAAATGGCATTTAAAAGGTTAAAATTCTGAAAATGATTGGTATTTTTGATTAGGGCTGAAAAGAAAAACCTTTTAATATAATGTTTTTATCAAAGTCTTTTGCAGTGGACATTTTTGTCCCGAATGACTAATTTGCGTAGTCCAATCCAATGATACCGGAGGGTTAAGGTTTTGGGGCAGTTTTTTGCCAACTCCTTGTCCTGACCCACCGGTGGTCTTTCCGGCTACCAATCTTGCCCGTCCCGCGGAGCTGTCCCGTCACCGCCTTCCTGCCCATCCTCGTGCCCGGCCCCCTGAGTTTGCCCGCCGCGGCATTCGCCCCTTCTCGGCCTCTGCGTGGCCCCCGGGCCGTCTGCCCGAGTGCCTCCTCCGGACCCCCTCAACCTGGAAGTTTTGGACTTTGTGTTTTTTAGGGACGTCTGGGATCCGTCCCTTGGGGGAGAGGTTATGTTATGATCCGTATTAGTTTTCCCTGTTTTATTTTGTCCGTCAAGATCTGTCTTTGGTTTCCTGTTTTATTTTGAAAAGTGTTCACCCCCCGTCTTGTCTGTTGCTTCCTGTCTCTGTGTTCCCTCCTGTTTGATTACCTGATTGTGTTCACCTTGTGCCCCAGTGTTTTCTCTTTTCTCTGTCTTGTTCGTGTGATTAGTCTTGTGTGCATTTAAGTTCTGTTTTTTGTTTCAGTCTTTGTGAGAGTCTTGATGTTGTTGGACGGATTTTGTTTAGAGGTAATGGTTTGCCTTGCCTTGTTTTACTTTGTTTGCCTGGCCTTTTCCACAAATAAAGGAGTTTGATTTCAACCAACGGGTTTACTGCATTTTGGTCCGATGTACCTTGCCCTCAAGCCGTGACAGTATGACTGTGTATGAATGGGTGAATACTGATATGTAAAGAGCATTGATAGAATAGATAGGGATGAAACCCTCTTTAATGGTCACACATGCAGAGCACACAGCACACACAGTGACATTTGTTATCTGCATTTAACCCATCCTAGTACCAGGAGTCCAGCACCAGGAGCAGTGGGCAGTTATTGTACAGCGCCCGGGGAGCAATGGGAGTGGGGGGGTGTCCGGTGCCTTGCTCAAGGGCACAACGGCAGGGCAGAAGGTGAACTGGGACCTCTCCAAGTAGCAGTCCACACTCCATATTTAGGTCTGGTCGGGGACTTGAACCGGCGACCCTACAGCTCACAGTCCAAGCCCCTACTGACTGAGCCACTGCCGGACAAGGGCTTATATCTAAAATATGTAGTCTGTTCAATTAAAACAAATCTGAACACATGAGGCTGTATTTCCCCTTGTTCTGTTTATTAAGGGAAGGATTTTATACTTTTTTAATCTATAAATCATCCCACTGTAGCTGAACTTCAGACTGTGATGTCAGCAGTGGGTGTGGGTGTGGTTTGCAGCATGAAGTCTGTATTTAAGGAGGTGTTGTTGCAGACTAACTTCACTTCCTCAGCTCAGCAGCAGACCAGCTCCTCCCTCCATCACCAACTATGGCCAGCAAACATGCCCACAATGGTAAGTGAATAAACTTTATTGTTAATGATGATTGCAGCTTATCTAAATACATATTTATAGATGGATAGGTAGCTTGACATATGTTATAATAATGAACAGATCATAACAGTACAGTAAAAGAGAAAGGGAAAAAGTTAATAAAATAATTATATTTAATATTAATTAATTTTGAGATCCTGGGTTACACACTCCCAATTTTGGGGATTCAACATTATTTTTAGCTGATTTTATTATATTTTCACAAGGCTACATGAACGTTTGTGTGGGATCATGTCTTTACGCAAGGCAAGTCTGTTTATAAAGCATGTTTCAACACAAGGCAATTCAAAGTGCTTTACAAAAATGAAAAACATTAAGAGCATCAAAAGTCTATGTAATGTAATCACATTATAAAATGACATATAAAACATTGAAAAGCAAAGAGAATAAAATAAATATAAAACACATTTATATATAAAATACATGAATCAAAGAGTGCAGTGTAAGATGTGAATAGTTCAATTAAAAGCAGCAGCAAAAAGAAAAGTCTTCAGCCTGGATTTACAAGTAGTGAGAGTTGCAGCGGATCTGCAGGTTTCTGGGAGTTTGTTCCAGATGTTTGGAGCATTTTTGTCAAAAGGGTTTTCTCATTAAAATAAACGTACAGCTAGAGGCCACTGCTGCACCATTTCAGTTCAGGTTGTAGACAGGCTGTTAAGAAGTCAAACATCCAGGCAAGAGCACTGTTTAGTTTGATTGTAGTTTCCAGTTCAAAAGCAAACATGTATGATTGTTCTTCATGCTGCCTCTCTCTTGCTCCGGTAAAAAAAAACAATGTCTATTCCTGGTGCACCTAACATTTACATACCCACTACCTTTATCACTTAACCTGCTATTCAACTAACACATGCTTGATCTGGTGCTCAGTGCTCATAGTGTCTACAAAAATAACTAAACTAAATAATAATAATGAATTAACATTTTATGACATGTACACATTTGTATAGCCATCTTAGTTGCACCATGTTATAAATACCTGGAGCTAAATATATATATATTTTTTTTTTTTTTTCAGACCTCCCATCAGAATCAAACACATACAATAACGATGTACTCCGGATTGTGATGGTGGGGAAGACCGGAGTTGGGAAGAGCGCCACAGGAAACACCATTCTGGGAGAAAAGCACTTTGAATCAGAGTTCTCTCCTGAATCTCTGACTGTAGACTGTGTGAAGGCCATTGGTGAGGTGGAGGGACAAAAGGTTGCTGTTATTGACACTCCGGGTATGTTTGACACCAGAACTGATGAAGAGAAGACCAGAAAAGATGTTGTTCAGAGCATTCATTTTGCTTCTCCTGGACCCCATGTCTTCCTGGTCGTCATCAAACTGGGCAGATTCACAGATGAAGAAAAGCAGACAGTGCAAATGATTCAGGAAATCTTTGGAGAGCAAGCAGACAGATACAGCATGGTCCTCTTTACCCACGGTGATCTGCTCAAAGGAACACCTATCGAAGAGTTTTTGAAGGGTAGCAAAGATCTGACGGAACTTGTGGCTAGATGTAACGGGCAGTACCACGTCTTCAATAATGAGGTGGAGGATCGTTCTCAGGTCAGAGAGCTGCTCGACAAGATCAGAAATATAACAGAGAAGAACGGAGGAAGCCATTACACCACTGAAATGTTCCAGGAGGTAGAGAGGGCCATAGAAGAGAAGAAACAGAGAATCCTTAAAGAGGGAGAAGAGGAAACGCGCAAAGAGGAAGAGGAAATGGAGAAGAAAATATCGGAAAAGTATGAGCCACAAATGAAGGAAGCAGAGGCAGACAATGAGAAGTTGAATAACTTAAATGAAATCCGCAAAAGGGAAATTGAGGAGGAAAGCAGGACAAGTAAAAAAGAGCAGGAGGAGAGAGCCAGACAGGAAGCTGAGAACAGCCCTAAAATGATGATAGACTATTTTGTAGGGATGATTCAAAACGTTTTCAGTAAACTAAATCGCTTTCAGTAAACTAAAACGTGCCGCACGACTCGATACTCAACATGTGCCACATAAATAGAAATAAGATGGGATAATCAAGGGTGTGAATCATTTCAGTCAATCATTGAATAAGAAGTTGAATAAAATCCTATCACATGTATGTAAAAACTGTGGGAAAGAAAAGGAAGCTGAAAAATGATGTTCAAGGTTCAAGGTTCAAGGTTCTTTATTGTCAATCTGACATAGCTACAGAGTAATTATGCAGTTGAAAATCTTATGTCACAGGCTTCTCCAACAATGCAACATAATAACATAATAACAATAAGAGCAAGAGCAATACAAAAATAGTAATAGTTATAAAAATGAAATAAAGTTATGATGTGGAATAGTGCAGTATGAGTCTATATACAAGTTATTGGAATGATATATATATATTAGGTATTAGATACATACTACTGAGTAGCAGTTGAATGTTTGATGTTGTTTCAACAGTTCAAATTGTTGTTCAACTGTATGCTGTAACTGGATCAGTGACACACCATTAAAACACAGCAGCAGACCGCTGAAGGGGCAGCACAACTGTAAACTATCAATTAATGTAGGATCTGTAACTTAATTAATATCCATGAAGTATCTGTCTGTTGTCTTAAAAATAAATTCCATTTGTGCATTCTAGTTCATTTCTGTGTTTCTTTATTGTCACTTTTGAAATGTGTGAATATTGATTGTATAGGCCTTTTTTTTACATTTAAAACATTCCTATATAGTCTGTAAAACACCAGATATGTAGAAAATTAAAAAATGACATATTTAACAAAGGCTACACTTGTTCTGTTTAAGGCAGGGGATTTTTCATAGATTTCAGTTGATGAAGCGTCGCACTGTAGCTTAACGTAAAACATCAATAAACTGTGATGTCAGCAGTGGTAAAGGTGCGGTTTGTTGCATGAAGTCTGTATTTGAGGAGCAAATATGCCAGAAATGTTACAGTAGGTCAATAAATCATATTTCTAGTGTTGAGTGTAATTTAACTAATTGCATATTTAAATAAAGATATGTAGCTTTTCAAAGTTCATAATGAACAGATAGTAACAGCGTAGTGACGGGAAAGAGAAAACGTTAAATGTTTCTACAATCTCCAGCAGTCTTGTGATCTTCGATGATAAACTCCTCAACGATCTGTTTAACAAGATCAGAAATAAAACAGAGAAGAAGGAAGAAACTGAAATGTCCCAGAGGGCGGATGGTGAAAAAAGAAATGGAGGATGAGCTCACATTTAATATCTGAGTATGACAAATAAATGTGCCAACCTCTGAATGAGAGTTTAGGCCTTTTCTTTAGGGACAACATTCAAATCCCTACAATGTAAATGATTAGGTTACAGTGGAAAGACTTGATTTAACCCCTGCATTCTGGTCACATGTTGCCCCCTTTGGTACTGCTCGGGTCAAATTGAGCCGAGACATGATAGCGGACAACAACAACAAAAAATACAGAATTGACTAACATAGGTTAGTAGTATTCTCATTCTAAACAATAAATACAGTATGTATGATTATTGTTTGTAAATACACTCTCCTAGGTGAGGGCTATTTTGCTGCTCGGAGTATCATGGCCACATATTAAGAGATGCTGATCAACAGAGACTATCAGACATCAGAATGAGAAACCTTTATTAGTCCCACAGCGGGGACATTTACAGTGTTCCAGCAGAAGTTGAATAGCAGGTCAAATAAAAAAGTAAAGCACACGTTAGTGATGAAATACAAATAAAGATAAATAAGTACACAACCAAGGTTACAAATTGGTAGTATGTAAAACTAAGTGACATTAATGGCATTGAAGTATTGTGAACTTAACAGAATATAAGTTGGGGCATTTATTAAAATTAGTATCTTTTTTTACATTAAAGTGATTATTGTGCATACAAATTGCAGATAGGGTTTATGTTGCACATTGCAGGTTAACTGCAGAGATTATTGCAAAAAGTGGAAGAACCATTGCAAATGGTGCGGTTTTCGGCGTGTATGGTTCACTAATAAGTTAAAAAGTGTTTTTACAAAATAATAGTGCAAAGTAGGATAAATACAAATATTAAAAAGCAGAAACTACTCAGCGGTGAGTAGGAGAGCTGTAAAAAGGCAGCAACTTGAGCGGCACCAATTATATGGGACTTTCAAGGGTAAGAATCATTTCAGTCAAGCATTGAATAAGAGGTACAATAAAATCATATCACATGAATGGAAAACCTAGCGGGGAAATAAATGGCAGTAAAAATATAGAGATGGTCCATTTAAATGTATGTATATTTAATCCAATGCCGATATGTGTCTGTAGTATATTTCTATATTCCTGTATGGTTAGTGAGACTGTATATTGTAAAGTACTCAATTTATTCAATATTTTAGTTATATTGTATATTATGTAGATACTGAAGTAATATATGTCCTTTCCATTGTGAATATTTAGATACTTGCCGCTTATATTTGTGTCTTATTGTATCTTTTAAATATGTTTAACTCGTGTAATGCTATTCAACACTGCTGCTGTGATTTAAATAATATCTCAATTTGGGACAAATAAAGCATTGAATGTGTGAATGCTGACTTAAATATGTAAAGCACATTGAGGGCTCTCAAAGACTGGAAAAGCCCTATATAAATGCAGTCCACTTAAAATGGTCACTCTTGAAATGCGTGAATATTCATTGTATCTTAAACTTAAAATATATAGTTTGTTAAATAAAAAAAGCCAGGGGAGGATTTTATACTTCTTAATCTATGAATCATCCCACTGGAGCTGAACTTCAGACGGTGATGTCAGCAGTGTGTGGGTGTGGTTTGCTGCATGAAGTCTGTATTTAAGGAGGTGTTGTTGCAGACTAACTTCACTTCTTCAGCTCAGCAGCAGACCAGCTCCTCCCTCCATCACCAACTATGGCCAGCAGATTTGCCCAAAATGGTAAGTGAATAAACTTTATTGTTAATGATGATTGTAAGGTTTCAATTTAAATATATATTAATGGTTAAACACACAT